ATAACAAAGGTTTAACCCCTTGAACAACAATTTATACATGTGCATATTTCTCCAGCAAATTAACCGTTATCATTCTTTTATATATACACATTGATCTATTTTGTGACAATTTGTGTTTGATCGCCTGGACATTTTGATGCAGACTGAATGAAATATGTAAAAGCTACACTAATGTTTAATGTCATGATGGGACCGCAGTTMGTTGTGACACCGGGGCTACGTCCTCCAGCAAAAAATCTGCAGCCTTTTAATCACAGATAACTTCAACTCATTTTGGCTGCTTGTATCCACGATCTTGTCCTTTCGGTCCCTACCCAAAGCTCGTGACCATAGATGAGGGTAGGAATGTAGACCGACCGGTAAATCGAGAACTTCATGTTTTGGCTCAGCTCTCACTTCAACACAACAGACCGGTGCAGCACCCGCATCACTGCAGACGCAGCACCAATCCGCCTGTCGATCTTCCGCTTCATTCTTCCCTCATTTGTGAACAAGACCACAAGATACTTAAACCCCTCCACCTGGGGCAGGACCTCCTCCCCGACCAGGAGGAGGCAGCCWACCCTTTTCCAGCTCAAGACCGTGGTCTCGGATTTGGAGGCACTGATCCTGGTGCTGATGTGAGCTTGTAAAATTGTCCTGGCAGGGTGGGAACGTGGTTGTAATGTTGTGAGAACAAGCCGTTGATAGATAAACGCATTGTGAGGGCACAGGGATGCATACAATAACAGGAAAACATCTGTTGAGTTCATAATGTACGTTTTCACACTGAAGCAGGTTTTCCAAATTTGCACTAATCCAGATTTTATAATTTGAGGTCCTGTAAGTGATGGAGAGCAGAGTGGGCCCAGCATTCTGACCGCAGAGGGTCTTACCATCCATCTTAGCATTTAACTCAGGATTTGTTTTTCAGTTCAAGTTATATCATCTGTCAGGTTTCTGACTAAGCAATGACGTTAACATTTACAGTGTGTGGTACATAATCCAAATTATCCTCACCTCTCCTCTGTGGTTCTTGATGGGCAGACAAAGGATYCTCTGGGTTTTGTAACCGGTGATCTGGTCCACTTCTGCATTGAACCTGGGATCCTAGGGGAAAACAAAGTAAAAGCCTACATGATCCTGTTAGCATGCTAATTAAGAAATGAGCCCCATCACATTACACAAGATGCTACTGTTGGTCTCACTGAACTAAAGAATGTAAATTTACAATGTAGACACAAGAAATGTATAATATTCAGTATAACCTCTCTGGTATGAGAAACACTTTGGGATCCCCCCAGGAGGAGCTGGGCTCTGTCTCTGGGGAGTACGTCTGGGTTTCTTTCCCAGACTTTTTGACCATGACCCCAAGTAAAAYAAATGAATGGATGGATGAATAAACTTCACCAGGATTAAACTGAATTCACACAATCAGAGGTTACACATTTTGCATCAAATATTTAAGTATTTTCTAATCATGGAGGTTCCCACCACAACAATTTGATGATGTAATTAACCCCCAGCCTCTGGTGCCACTGGAGGCGGAGTTTTATCTCTAACTGTGAGATGTTTCTGAAATCAAACTGCACCATAAGCACTGTGCTCTRGTTCTGTGGTTTACATTTCTGCATACCAGGAATTAAACCAAACCTTTGTTTCTTTGTGTTGGCAAGGGATGGAGGGCTTGAAACGTCAAGTGACAGTAAACAGAGCTGGGAATCTGCTTACATAATCCTCAATAAACGTTTCAACAATGTTTCAGCATCAAGAGCAGACGTCATCAGCATCCATGGCCTCAACAAGCAGTTCAACCACCCACTCCCCTGAAGCCTGCAGGTCTCATTTACATAAAGAAATTGATCTCGTGTCATTATTCTACAACACCAACGTCCACTTCTGTCCAAAACTGAACGTCTCATCGTGTCCACGGTTCTGTTCCACATCAGTGATGACATGTCACACTTGGTCTGAAAGCTTTAAGACGTAAAAATAAAAAGACCGGAGGATGGAGAAATGTGCAGTTTAGTAGACCCTCCTGGTGACAGCCCCCCTCGAGCCGACCTTTAAAAACTCAGACTCTCTCCGTTCCCATCATCCTCCAGGCTCAAGAGGAATATGTTTGTGTGGAAAAAAAACTTTATTAATTAACATTATAAACCAAACCTCTGCTGCAGTAATATACAAAACCCAACAGGTTCTGTGTTAGAGAATAAAATCACAAAAATATTGTTTTAAACTGAAAAAAAAAAAACGTCTAAAGAAACGTTTTGTGGGATTTATTTTGTTATAATCTAAGATGATGATGTCATCAGAACTGTGCAATATATAAATAAAAAAAGATCAAAAGAACTAGTTGCTGCTCAGTAGGTTATCATGGTCACCACACACCGGTCTCACTGCCTCAATAAGACAGGCAGACCACCACACAGGGTGAAAACCAAGCCTAAAAACAAATAATCACTGTGCAAAAACTAAAATGTGTTTAAAAAAGGACCTGAACAAAAGATACCATGATGGCCATATCAGATCTCAGAAGCTAAGCAGGGTCGGGCCTGGCTAATACTTGGATGGGAGACCACCTTGGAATGCAGGTGCCATAAAACCAATGTAGGAGTTGCGCRCARATTGGAACACAGWAAAACTTTGACCGTAATAGGTCACCTTCTGTGAAGATTGACAAGAACTAAAAGTGGAAAAAGCATCTGGTCATCACAGATGACAAGATTTATGTTTTTCTGAAACTGTTGAATATTTAAATCCAAAAAATGGAACAGAAATAAAACAATTATTAATACTATTAGATTGCTTCATTGCTCGTTTCCATAGATGTGGGGGAAAAACCAGATTATAGGAACACTTCAATAAATGAGAATATTATCAAAATGCAGAGTTGTGAAGTAACTAAATACAAATACTTTGTTACTGTACTTAATTAGAAACTTTGGTTATCTGTACTTTACCTGAGTAATTGTTTTTCAGCGTACTTTTTACTTTTACTCATTACATTTTTACACAATCTGTACTTTCTACTCACTACATTTTTTTAAAAAGGTAAGAAGTAGAAATTRGTTACTCCTATTTTATTGCAAGTTGTTAATTACTTAAAAAATACTATCCTGATAAATTGTATCTCCTGGATGGGGTAAATTTAACTGTGGTTGCATGAGAAGTTTAAATATATAATATTCTGACACACTATTAGCTTAGCTTGTACACAACCCATCACAGCTGCACACCGCTTGGGGTTGGGCAATATTGGCAAAAAAATTAATCATGATTAATTGTGGTATTTAGCCAATAAGGATTAATTTGACGATTAATTCCCTGGAGTCCCTGGACATCCTTATGTCCTGATCACATGACCAAGTTAGTGGGAAGGATTTGCTCTTTGTAAAAATCTGTTCCAAATTGTGTCAAAGTTACAGACTTCAGGTTGCATATCAAATTTTAAATTGTGCTAATAGATACATAAAGCGGACTGACTGGGGAAATATCCAGTCGGTCCGCCTGGTGGCATTAATCGTATTAATCATCAAATGCCAAAAAATAATCGATTAATGTTTTTCTGACGATTAATTGCACACGATACGATTATGCCCAACACTAACGCCGCAAGAAAAAAWTTTTTTTTGGAGAAGTCACCTCCCAATACATGTCATTTTGGAAAATCTAACTGCTCACTTTTACTCAGTACTTTTACTTTTAATACTTAAGTAGATTTTGTGTCAGAAATTTACATTTGATACTTAAATATAAAACATATCAGATACTTTAAAGGGGCAATATCATGTAAAATCAAATTTTTAGAGTTTTATATCATGTTATAATGTTATACTCTCATAAAAACATGCCCAAAGCCTTACTCTGACTCATTCATGCATGTTTGAGAAATCCTGCAGTGTTTTTATGCAGCCATGCTGAGGAGCAAAACAACAGGTGGGGACCAGAAATGCCTTTTGGTACCAGAAACGCCCCTGGGACGTGTTTTAAGCCGAACTTCCTCATGGCAGAGCGCATCCCCTCTCCCCTCCCCACACACCCCGCCCATGACTCCTGCAGGCTCTCGGGTCAAAGTGAAAGTGAAACCTAACTGTCTGCTGAGCTCAACATTAGTTCTCACTCAGTGAAGCTCTTTTCAGATTAAAAATACCTTTGCAGAAATGTATTTTCAGATGCCAAGTAAACCGCATCATAGCGCACACGCAACCCCCCGCCCCACACCCGCGCACGAGCCCCCGCATGCGAATCCCCCCCTGAACGGGACGGAACAGAAGCAGCAGGAGGTTCTCAAAGAGACAGAGGCCAATTTCAAGGCYTTTAGAAGAGGAAGTGATGAGAAGATACGTTTATTTTCTATTTAAACATAAAAACAACATTTTAATAACAGCGAAAGGTGACATAGATACTTTATTATGGTATAGTATTTAAATGTATGCCTGAGAAACACGTAATATTGGCCCTTTAAGACTTTTCCTCAAGTAATATTTTTGGAGAAGATTTTAACTTTTACCAAAGTATTTTTATGATAAGATATTTGTACTTATACTCAAGTATCACTTTGAGGTACTTTATACAACACTGTCAAAATGTCCATTTTAATAATTCAATTCAAAAACTGAACCTTGTGCACAGATCATTTAGGTACAATTTGTTTTGTCCTGTTTTACTAAAGACAGAAAAACTCACAACGATCACTGAAAAAAGTAAAATAACCAGCTGTGGAAACTCAGCATTCCTTTTGATCTTTAGTTCATCAGATTGAAAAATAAATAATAAAACAAAAAACAATGTTTCTGCCATTATGTTACACAACCGTTCAAGACGATCCCTGCAAGCAACTGATTTCTGCAGCTCTGAGACTTCAGCACCTGTCCACAGGCGGCTGCGAGCCCTCTTCAACGTGAATTCTGGTCCACCTGTCCACAGACGCCTGTGTGATGTTTACCATTGGGAGGCTGATGCACCTGCAGTAAACTCAATCCTTGGCAGAGAGGGCAAAGATCCAACAGCATGGAATCCATGARGATTGGGGACCACCCTCTGTTGTGCCTTCATCTGCCATCAATTCCATTCACACACGCACACCCAGYTTTGTTTTTATATCCCATTGGAGACCTTCCACTGACTTCCATTCATTTTCTGGTAATTTTATAGCCTAACCCTGACCATTTACCCTAAAATTAGCCTTAGAGGTACCTACCTGACCCTAACTAAACTCAATTCACACCTTGGTCCTAAACCTAACCATACCACCCAAAATTAGCATCCATACCCGTGGGGACCGGGCTTTGGTTTCCAACAAGCTCTAAACATCTCTGCATCCTAACACCAATGTGACTCAGACCAGTTTCCCACCAGTTAACAGTGTACAGCAGGGAGTACTGGTGGAAATAAGAGTAAAGCTTTAAATAAAGGTCAGGAGCTCCATCTGCACAGGTCAGAGAGCTGAAACCCAATCTGCAGACAAGTTATAGGAAACATGATTCACCTATTGCAATTCTTTTTGTCTTCTTTTAAACAATAAAGGGCCATAAAACACTGGGTGAGGCATGTGTTACATAACAAAAGAAGTTAATAGGAGAAATATATTTAATCGTACTTGCTGTTTGGGTTTAAAGTTCAACAGACTTGAACAAAAACAATATTCAGTTTTATTTCACTTAATGCATAAAGCTGTATGCTTGATTGGAGCCATAATTAAACAAAGTACAGATTTATTAATCAGGCCAGATATTAGGAAATAATTCATTCATACACTTAATTATCTCTTTTTTCCAATCTCCTCCCTCTTCCCTCCCCTCCAGCTGCAGTGCTGTCAGTGAGCTCTGAGTTAAAGAGGCAGTTATGACACACAAAAAAAGAAAAGCATTGTGGAAAATCTCTGTGGCAGAGCCAACATTACTTTGTTTTTGCAAACAAAAGAGCACTTTCCCTGTGCAGAAGACATGTTAGTATCATCACAGCTAGAGCTTTGTGAGGTTCCACATTTTTATTAAAAAATAAATCTGAAACCTGATGGAAGGAGTTGGGCTCACAATATTCACGAGTAACCTTGTGAATGGAAACAATTAATGATCACCTGGAAAACACAAGGAATATCAATCCTTTTTCAAACAACTTTTACTAACCAATTCTGTGGTTCCACCACATGGAACCATAGGACCCTACAATCAAAGCATGAGGAAGGCATGGCGGCACAGTTGGTAGACCTGTCACCTCTCTCATCAAGAAGGTGTACATGTCAACCCCTTCAAATGTATAGTGACCTTCAAAAATCTGCACATTTCATAATATTTTCATAGTGTTCTCACGCAATAAGAAAGGGGTGGGGTATAATGGTGTCTGCAGCAGAGCAAGTACAGTCAAGATGGGGGAGGGGGCGCAAGAACTACTGACGGAGGATTGATTGATGGATGGATGGATGGATGGATTGTTAATCTTGTTATTTTATTGATTTTTACATTAGAGATAC